AAGCTGGTTGCCAAGGGACTTTAAGTCCTTTGTTGTTTGGATCACACCGGCCAGGGTCTCAAGAAGATTGTTGGATACATACTTCAATCTCCCCTGCCTGTAGGTAAGTACATTCATAACATTCGGTGGGGGAGGGCGGTTGGGGGGGGGGGGTGAACAAAATTTAAAATATGTAAACGAAAAAATACAAGCTAAAAGAGGAATGGCAGATTCCGTTGTAAGATATTGATATGAATCCTTGTCTTTTGACAAAACACGATCAAAACCTATACTAATTACGGGTATTTGGAACGTTTTAGTGACGGTTACGCGTTAGGAATGATAAATCCCTATATAAATGTCTATATAATGTCCATTCTCAAGGATTATAATGATTTGGATCTATGTCATGATTCTTAATCAGAGTTTGAAAGTGCATTGTTATAATATTAATGATGGTGATGATGGCGTTTTACAAACTGCTTCTTGGACAAGTGAAGAAGATCCCCCCAAAAACGACGTGGTGTTGTCCACTGGAGACTGGAATGCCAAGGTGGGAGTCGATGCAGATATTCCACATGGCAAGGGACTGCGGGAAGATTTGACCTCGGAAATACGAATGGGAGGGGACATAGCCTGCTGGAATTCGCTGAGTTTCACGACCTTCCATGTTCTGGTAAACACCCTATATCTCCGAGAAATGTCACGGGAAGCTACATGGCACTCATCAGATGATAAAACGCACAACGTAATCGACTACACCATGATCAACCGACGTTTCCCATCAATTCTAAACCTTGCTCAACCCAGGTCAGTCCTGTACATGACATAGGGAGTATCCAGGAAAAGGAAATTAAGAAGTAAGAAGCTAAGAAAAGAAACTAAGAAAAGAGAGGTCACCAAGAATGAAGTTCAGCTTGGAAAAATTGAAAGATCCTGACATATTGCTAAAGAATTGGAGGCTAAGATTGGTGGAAGATTTGCTCCACTTATATTTGCAGACACATAATAATTTATGCTGTAATCTTCAACAATCAGTTGAATCGGCGTTTCATTGCCAATTCAACGGAGGTTCTGGAAAGAGCAAGGGACATGAACAACCAATGAATGGGAGGGAGTTGAAGAAGAAAAGGTACCTCAACGATGCTGACTGTCAAGCGTAATAGAGAATCCAACAATGCAGTTAAGAAATCAACTAAGAAAGCCAAAGAAAGGTTGATCATTGACCGGTGCAAAAACATAAGATGTAACAACTCTGCAGTCGCCTATAAAACAGAAGGAGACCTATTAAAGGGACTTCGTAACATTGTTCAGATGAGAGAGAGAGAGAGTGGTGCTAAGGTAGTAACGTCATTGCTAAAAATTTATGATTTTGTGCATGTAAAAGGGTTAGTACAGTAGAAGGAATATAAAAAATTATGAACATTTTGATCAACTTTCAACCATGTTACCGAGTCACTTTAAAGGAGGTGAACACAAATGACAGTTAGACCCTATACTGAAATGCCAACACCCTTAAAACAGAAAAGCAGGCTGTTCGGAGTAAGCTGAAGGGATACTACGATGAACTCTGTGATTACCACCTAACAAATCATAAACTGCTAGATATGTTGAGGTCCGGGGTAATAATATGTGCTGCGCCTAGAAACAAAAATTAGGCTATTATTATTATTGTCTTAATTATAAGGCTTCTCCATACCCACTATAATTTGCATACGTCCAACGAGAAACCGAGAGGGATAAGGGAGAGTTATCAGGGGGAACATGGTCACCTCATCACAATTGTGAAAAGACGACAGCTGCAGTGTTTTAGGCACGGTCACTAGATAAAAGAATAGCTTGGAAAACACCATCTTGTAAGCAGAAACTGATCGGAGAAGAATGAGGGGCAGACCAACTAGGACATGAACTGATAACATCAAGCAACGGAGAGGAATCAATTATTTTAGTAGCTAACTAGAACAGCTAAAGACAGGAAGTTATGAAGCTGGGTCTCAAGGTTCATTTCATTGAAGCCCCAATAACCTCAAAGCTATGGGACATAGATGATGATATTTGTTTACTTACGAATCTGTGTGATCGACTGCATATTCTGGTTCATCTACATTGAATGTAATAAAGTAATACAATAGGAATAAATTGTTCAGTATTTAGAAGTGCTATGAATTTAATATAAATAGATGTGTTTTTAGAGTTGATAATTCATAGGTTTTTTTATAACTTTTTTTCTCACAAGAATTTCATAAAATACAATAATGCAATCTAATTTCTGAGAAACAAATTTAAGATCTGAAACGGACAGCTACCTTAGCTATTCTTTTTCTTCTTTTTGTTTTTGTTTTTGGAGGGGGGCATTAGTGTGTGCTTTATGTGAGACCAGGCGCGTACACAGGGGGGGGGGGGGTTGGGGGTTAAACCCCCCCTTTGGTATTTTTTTGTGTGTAAACCCCCCCCCCCTAAATTTCTCTAACCCCCCCCCCTTTTGGATTTTTTTTTTTTTTTTTTTTATTAAAACAAAAACAAAAACAAAAACAAAATATATTCCTATGGTTGACCTAAAAAAGCTGACCTTACCCCCCCCCCAACGGAGCAAAATGTCAAATTTTCAAATTTCGAGACAAAAAAAAAAAAAAAATGTGTCCTCTTCCCCCCCCCCCCCCCCCCCGCTTATTCAGACCAAAAAAAAAAAGTGACCTCTTACCGCCCCCCCCCCCCCGCTTATTCAGCAGCTGGCTGAGTCATTGCGAAATTTTCGGCCCGATTTATAAATGTTAACCCCCCCCCCCCCCCCCCCCCCTTGAAAAAAATCCTGCGTACGCGCCTGTGTGAGACTTTAAAACACATTTAATGATTCTTATTGAAGGGGAAGAAATGACTGATGTATGGCCTTTGAGATCAAATGGTTACAGTAAATTAGTTATTTAGGTATTCAAGATAACAGGATACAGAAATGAATTACTGGTATGCAGGGTCTTGTAGGTAAATTATGTAGGGTCTTGGAGTAACTGGCTATAGGAAGAACTTGTGTAGGTTCCTTGAGATAACTAGTTACAATATATGACTTATGTAAAGTATTTTATGTAACTCGTTATGTAAATGACTGACGTAAGGTCTTTGAATTAACTGGCTACGTTTTATGAAATGAAAGACACATAATATCCTACTTCCAAATAATATAGGCTTACCTTCTATTGAAATGATAAACTCTCTTTCTGCACGTGTGGCTGACCCTTGTAGTATGTCGATATGGCCGTTCTTCTTTCCTTTCTCTTCTGGAGAGAACTCCAGCTCGAAGCTGAGAGGGCTGCATTGTCCACTTAGTATACTCTTGATGGGCATCTTCGTTTGAATATCATGGGAATAATAATAACAACGAACGATAGCAACAACAGCAATGATAATTATATGATGATAATAATAATGACATAATACTAATAATTAAATAAACATTACCAAATTATGTTGGCATGTGCATGTGGTTGTTAAAGGGAGAGAAAAGATTGAGAGATGGCATATATTTGATTTAAGGAGATGCTCCAAATTCGAAATAAAGAAGATGCTTGATCATTCAGTGACTGTTTACGAAAAATGTAACTTCAACTTTCTTAATGGTTGCATTTATTTAAAAAAGGTCATGTATAGATATATCAACTTGGAAAATAAATGTATATCTAGAAACGAAATAGCTTTGTAAAAGAATAGCAAATCAGCTTCAAGAATGAACATCCAAGGAGTTAAATCCTAACTCCTAGGTCGACCACTATTCCTCAACAGACCTTATGAATAAATTTTTCAGGCATATTTACCGTTCTTTCGTTTCTTTTCTTCCCGTCGTCGAACAAAATCTGCAGGTCCCTTGTTTCTGACTCAATAGAGAACGTGAATTCTTTCAGGACTCGGCATGGTACAAAAGAACTCTTCTCCTTTCTCGCTATTTCCTGGAATATGACATAAACAATCCAAATCTAGGTATAGCAAAATTATTAAATCGTACGCAGATGAATAATCTCAATTATTGTAGGCCTGCTAAAAAACACATACATTACCTTTACTAAAATATATATGTTTTTTTTTCTTTTAATGTGGGCGTAACAATTAAATGGTAGAAATAAAATCATGAATAAACAATTTGAAAAGTAATAGTATTAATGAAGAGTTTGGTCTCAAAATATGTTCTTTATCTGTAATATATTTATGGCACTAAAGCTGAATATTCACCGTAAATGATATTGAGGCCTTTCAGGGCATTACACGTGATGCAGGTCCAAAATATTCTACATCAATAGTTCAATGACCTCCTACGGGAAAGACTAATCACAAAATTCTACGTCATATATATGTTATTTATCTGTATTATATTTATGGCACTAAAGCTGAATATTCACCTTACATAATAGTGAGGCCTTTCAGGGCATAACACGTGATGCAGGACCAAAACATTCTACATCAATACTTCAATGACCTCCTACGGGGAAAGACTATAATCACAAAACTCTACGTCATGTATGAACGGTCAATTTGCTGATCACCACTTATACCACAAGCATCACAGTAAGATAATGTACAAGAATCCTCAAAATGTAGATACTTCGTGGTTGCCATAGTCCCGCACTCATATTTTAAATCTTAGAGTATTCCCCCCCCCCCCCCGTTTCACACGTGCTACTACAATGTATATTGTTCCACGAAATTACATATTAGCGTTTTATCCCATGAGGTTGTTGTTGTAGCCGTTTTTAGGCGGGTATTATTCAGATGTGAATATTTATGCCAAAATCTGTTCGCATTAACCAAACAAAAAGAAAGGAGAAGAGAGGAAAAAGGAAGCAAAATTTACGCTGTATAATTTACCGCAATTTGTGGAGTTTCTCCTCAGGCTGTCAGCATAAATCGTTGGCCGTTTATTTCGGTACGTTGACCAGACTATATGTACATATATTTCCTGAACAGTTTCCACTTCACACCTTTGTTTTCTTATTTAAATCCCGTATTTCAACACAAAGCTATAATTTGAACAAGTTTTATCGATTTAAGCAGTCAGAACGGAAACTCTTAATGACCACAGTACCAAATGGCGCCCGCAAAGCATATGATATAAATACCTCTACATAGTTCCTGTACGGATGAAGTATGTACGCACGTAGAGTTGGTTTCTCTGCAGGAGTCATGAAGAGAGGCTGGAAGACTACACATTTCAACTGGAGTCCTTGAAGATCGGTCGATGACAGAGCCCAGACTTGAAGATGACTTGTACGAAACGTGATCGTATCTTTTGAGATTTGTGATGGATTCATGTTCCTACGACCGAACGTTCCTTTGAATTTAAGAAAATAAAGATTCAAAGATATCGATTAAACATATCTAATTACTCCCTGATAATAAAGGTTTGTACAATATTGATTATTAGTAGAGTAGGAATTGAATTCGACTTCATTTTCTGACATTTTACTTCATTCAAGCTTTGTTCTACTTTATTAATTTTATATTTCGTTATCATGGAGAAATAACTCAAAAGTAACTTTTATCAGCTTATCATTTTGAAAATTGATTCTTGCGACAGGAATATTAATTTATATAGGAATTGAAATGAGTCATTCACCTCATTTGTCAAATTATCAGGATTCAAATTTCAAATGATGAAGATTACTTTTTATTTTAAAGGGATCGTTTAACAATGTTAAATCTGAGATAGACGGCCCTACGTGTTATCAGTGTCTGTGGTATGGTGTAATATTGAAGCCCTAAAAAATTGCGCTTCAAAATGATCAAGAAGTGCCTCAAAAAAGTAAAAACCTTTGAGTGACCGGTTTTACCATACTCGTTTTCCCCAATAGACTGTAGTGTTATGAAAACCGTCAGGCGAACGTTTTTCAAAATTTGTAATTCCAATCATAAATATCTTGATAATCAAACAGGCGATCGGCTTGTAAAATTCATGGGGTTCCTGACTGACCTAAAGGTTTATAATTATCATTGCATCATGAGCTAAATCCAGAATTTTGTTTCAGAATCTGAGACAAAGTTACCGGATCCCTTTAAGTGAAGAGAATAAAAATATGTCGATAACTTTGTACCTGGTCCTGTCCTTGTGTACAAGATAACAGAAGAGTCGTCTTTACGTTCATTTTGAGTGGTGCAGTGTGGTAGTACCACCGTAGCAGGCTTGAGCAGTTCTTGTGTCAGAGAACCCTCTATGACTGGAGTAATGACTACCTCACCCTCCCGTACGGGAAGCCTAGGAGTATCGTGAGTTGGGACGCTAAGAGTTACAACTGATCTCATCCCTTTTGGCAGAGCTCCTTCGGGGATAGAAACGGCAATTCCAAGTTCATCAAGGGTCAGTTCTCCACCCTTGTGACCAATGATGCCATGCGAGAAGAAAGGTTTATAGCTTGCTTGGAATGTCATTGCTAATGAGGATAAGAAGGAAACAAGTCATAGATAATCCCCATATGAAACTTGATGCGAATAAAATACAGTTTAGCTATACAAAATATCATTTTGTTTCAAGTTATGTTCATAGTTATTTTCAAGGAAGTCCCTTTTGACTGTATTGAGTAAAGTATACATTGGTCAAAGTTTTTAAAGATATAAATCATTGGCAACATCTCCGAGATGTTCCTGTAAAATTCAAACAAGGTTATTTGTTGGTATATGGCGCTTCTTAGGTCTAAAAGATAACTGGTAAAGGGACCATTTCATTTTCATTTCGTGTTTCCTCATCAAGCAACACGGCTTGTGATTACTCCTTCCTAGTAGGAGTTAAAAGTGAACAGGCTCCTGCCAATTTTATGATTTTCTCTAAGGGGGGATGTGGGTTTCCGTTATAGTTAGGCAATAGTAAGTAAACATGATGAATCTGTTTGATATTTTTCTGATCAAGTAGGCCTCCACCATTTAATGTAATGTGAAACACAAATGACATTACATTCTGCTATCTTGACTGCTGCTTCGTTGAAGCGGAAAGCCTGAGCAACTTCCAGAAGCCGCTTCCTAGTCCCACCGTGATGTACCCACTCTTTAAGCATCTTCAGAGCACTACGGCCAATCATGTGAGGCGGGAAGATCAGAAATGTGCTCATTATGAGCAAGATGTCAGAAGGTTTAACACTCAGGCGATGGCACAAGTCCAGTAGTTTGGTCTTGGAACCAATGGTTTTTGAGATTTCTTCACAGCCTATGGAAACTGAAAAAATGCATATATCAATGTGAAGAAAAATATCCACTTTAAAGGACATAGCATCATGAATTTATGATGGTGATGAATGAGGACATTGACGGCGTCAGAAATACAGAACTTAACTGTAAAGCATTGATGAATATGGGGAAAAGTAAAGACTCTACAAATAATTTCTGTGATTTGTACATACATATCAATAAAAATCTTTACCTACTGACAATCTTCTTTACTACTTTTCTTTTAAAGGGTAAAATGTACAACTTCTTATCAACACGATTAAGGTTAAACTCAGCCTTATGATTCCAACGAACCTGTTTTGACATCTGAGATGTTAAACTCCGAGAGAAGCGTAGCAAACTTATTTCCTTTTTCATCCTCTTTCAAACCATTCCACCAACTGTCTACGAGCTGTCGTGCGATCTTCTGGAGTACTGACGAACTGGGTAGATCGATAAATCCAACAATGAGGTCATCATTTAAACGAAGGGCTTTTCCAAGTGAACATGCTAATGGCAGACTTGTCACTGGTAGAGCGACGCTGCAAAGCTCTTCCGTGCTTGGCGTTCCCCCACATTGGTCAAGGTCGTCATTAATTTCATCCCGCTCTATTTCAAAATAAAGTGATAAAAAATCGTTAAAGAAGTTCATCAATTCCTTATTTCGAAATTGACATATTTGATATTGATTTTTTTACATTAGTCATGCCTACTGTTATTGTTTTATACAATGGGAATGTATATAAAGTTATTATTTTCGCAATCATATCATTATCATTCTGTTATCTACCTGTTTCTGATGTTGTAATGATATCCATATATTCAGGCTCTATAGGCTCGATTGATGTGGCTCTTATCTCAGGAGTCGCCGACGAGCTCGGAGGCAAGCTTTCGTCTGAGAGAAGAATATATAAATATTAAACAGCATGTGTATCATGACAGTCAAAGCACTGCTAAGGTTTTAGTTTTAAGTTGTTTGTGTATTAAATAAGTTTTTCCGTACATCCTATGTATTATTGAGTGTAGACATGGCTCCGCCCTATCTCGTCTTACCTATTGAGACAAGTTTTTGACACATTAAACTGACTGCTATGAATGATATTATCAGCCCTGATAGTCAACCTGAAGCTAGAAAACCATTTGTATTACCACTAAACATTTAATTCCATTGAAGACAAAGTTCAGTTTAGATGTCCGTTTGTTTCTTCATTTGATTACAATTACCAATCATATAATATACGATATATACAAGTCATAGAGCTATTGGTTATTAACATTGAAGAAAAACCGTCGCTGTTTTCACGAAGTGACGGTAGTGAAAAAAAATTGCATTCACTTTGCGTTACGATTTTCCTCACTACCGTCACTTCGTGAAAACAAGGACGAAACAATTGCCTGTATTCTCATCCGTAGGCCTAGATGCCAAAGAGACAGATTCCCAAATGCACTTCAACGTCTCAGTCGCTTCAGGATCTGATCGTTGAGATGCCTTCCACGTGCAGAGCATTTGGATGTTAGCGTCTTTGCGATTCTGCAATGTCTTGTGTTTGATGTTCTCAAGCTTATTCCGACTGAATCCAAGCTTTGTGCCAATCTCCATGAAGTCCGTCCACTTGATATGTCGAGCCAACCTAAGCAATTCTCGGTCAGAAATGTCACTAAATATATTGAGAAGAAACGATGTTTATTATACTAGAGTCAAACATTAACTTGACTTCTGGCTTTTGACAGAAACTGTTATCCAGTCAATCGAATTTTTGTCATGCAGTATAAAGATAGATCGATTGCTTCGATAAACAAATTAAGTTAGGCATCATTAGAAAATCAAATGAGACACGTTTACCTCTAAAAACGGATACCTTAAACAAACTTGAAACACATTGAAATTTCCAAAAAATTAGTTCAATATATCAAACTAAAGCTTACAAGCCGAATAAAACAAGTAGCAACCTAATTTTCACTGAGAGTAGTAGCTCTCAAAATTAACAGAAAATCATGACACCCAATACAAAACTACAACGAAAATACTCCACTTCACACACAGTTTTGCATTTCACGTAGCATATGAACGTAATATTACCGAAAACAAAGGATGTTTTATCAGCTTGGTATGTAGCGCCCTCTGCAACAGAACTCAACTATCTAAAGGGATAGTTGAGTTCTGTTGCAGAGGGGGCGCCACACAAAATATTTGTTGTTGTAAGATAATGGAAAACTGAATGTCAAATTCGAAAGAACATACAATTCTAACGACAAAATCATCTTGGTTTGACCAAAATCGGTTCAGAGACGGCTGAAATATCCATAAATATATTACCATTTCTTATATTTGTGTACCACCACAAATATTAGATAATTAGAACCAGCCGTTACAAAAAATAGCGCATTATATGTTTTGTATTAGCCATTAACGATGTTGGCTTTTTCGTATATTTTGAAATGTAGAACTGAATTGGTATGATCTTATTGGCTAAATTTCACACATTGTGGGGTCTAAAATTACCTTCATACCAATTCTAGGTGCTAAAAGGGTACTAGAAATGTCATAAATAAGAATAAGTGCAATATCCATGCATGTTAAAGGCATTTGCGGTCTGAAACAAGAACTCAAGTATCCCTGGATGTTCGACGCCTTCAATTTATAATATAGTTATGCTATATACGTCACAGTGGTGCCTTTTTTGTATTACTGGTGAGAACTTAAAAAGGTACATTAATTTCCTAATTCAATCGGATATTGCTCAAGCTCTCACTAATTTGTTTCTCGAATTTTTCGGCTTATATTGATACCAGCTAATTATCAGGGTGGACATCCTTTATGATAATCTCCCTTTTGATGTCCTGGTTTTAAGCGCTGCGACATTCGCTCTGGGTTTATCTCGTGAACAAAATTAAACACACGTGGATAGAGTTGTCAGTGAGGGTTGCAGTAAGGTTTAAAGGTAGATTTATTGTAAGGGTAAGTGACCAAGAACAAAACCTTACCTGGTTAGAGTAATAGCTGAAGTTAATCCATTATAAAGAACGTCATTGATGGATAAAGAAAGAGAAACATATATAGTTAAATTAGATTTTTCTGTATAATTACAATTGATTAAATGAAACACTGTAATAATAGGTATTTGAAAACATAGTTTTAATAAAATTCTTTCACAATTTCTTTTCTTCCCTGGCTGGCTAATATATTTTTGAAAAATAAAATCTTCGCATTCTATGGTTGTTACTATTTATATTACTACTAGTATTATCATTATAACTGATATTTGTATTATTAATCATCATTATTATAAATATGTAAATATCATTATTCATTATTATTGTGTGTGTGTGTTTGTGTGTGTTATCATTATTATCATTACTATCGTAATTTTTAGTTGAACTATTTAAATCTATATTGCAGTGTTTTCATGGTGAATATCAAAGTTTCCTATGCCAATAACTTTATATTCCTTTTTTCCCCTTGTTGTTTCATTGCATTGTTTAAAGTCTAAGTGATCAAAAATGAGACCGCACTTTTTCATCCATTGCTCCTTCTTTTTGGAAGTTGTTTCAATCACTTCTTCATCTCGCAGAAATGCAAAAGAATTAATTTGTTATAGGAGTCTGTGGCTTTTAATGTTGTTATATAGAAACATATTGCGTCACACCAATGATTACTACGATCACCATCTTTTTCCCCGTAGCAACAATGGCCAAATGTTTAACTGTTAAAATCAAAAGATTAGTTCAGATCCATACACAGCTTAGGTATTATATCAATTATACCTGTCATTTTCGTATTTTCTGCCTCTGTTTCTAAAGACTTCAGGATTGAAAGAAGCACTTCCTTCACATTTTGATGGGGTAGTTGTCTCTGTTTCCATGTTATCAACATTTCGCAGATGGCCTCTTGTCTGTCTTTGAGCCTCTTATACTCTATTGCATCCAGTTGTTGTATTTGGAAACCTAGTGCAACTCCCAGGTCATAAAAGTCGTCTATCGAAAGCTTTTCAGCGATTTTCTGGACATCTTTATCAGGGAGATCATTTCGAGAAGTTCCTTCGATTTCTCTATAAAAACAAATACATGTATATATATTTTCATCTTAGTTACAGTGCATTTCCTGCATTGTGTTGCATTATAAGATGTTAATGATCTTCCAAATTCCATTTAAATTTCTTACAAAAGGAAAGACCAATCAGGAGTATGAATACATTGTATTTCAGACAATAGGCCTAATTGTCTCACTTAATATCTTACAAAATTGTAATGAAACTTAGATTAAAAAATCTCGTAATGCACCTCAATCTAACTTGAATTTATTCTGAAAATGTGAATGATTGATTACGCCATGCTTACCGGATAACTGGAGTAAACTCAGGACTCTTGATTTGATCTGTAATCATGTATACGATGATAGAGAGTTTTAAAAGAAAATGTATACAAGTATTAGGACACTTTTCAGATCATTATTATTAAATATACAATCATTGTCCAAAGTATAAAAAAAGAAGATGAAAATAATCCAAATAAAAGAAAAGGATATATATCAGTGCAAATGTATTGTCTACCAATTGATTTTGAACGCGTGTATGTCCCAATTGATCAAAATATTGTTGTATCATAAGAAACTCTCAAAAAGCTGACAAGAAAAGAATTTCATATTATGCCTGCCTAGGTTTATCTTTTTACGAAACTGATAATTTTGTTCATTTTTCAGACTAATGCTTTCCTGTTAAGTCAAGTTTATGAAAGTAACAGTCGGAGCTTAATAAGTGAAGAAAAATCAATTTACCCATTAACAAAGCAAATCATAGTTAAAAAAAGAAACATGGAAGAAAATAACGTTCATAGTATTATGTTAAATCATAGCTCGTCAACAACAAAATACAAATAACAACGGGCCATCTCTCTGTATAGGATAATAGGATTGATTGAAGATTGTAGACCAACCTTCGTATCTAATGACGAATGCCATTGATCGAGACATCCCTAGCTTCCCAGACTGTGTAAGGGTGATGGTTATCACGTCAATTGGAACATCGTCCTCACTTGGGGGCACATTGAAGACTACATTGTGTCTCATTCGGTTGTGAATTTTCTTTAGAGAGAGCAGCTAAAGGACGAGATAATTAAAATATTAAGAAACAAACATTCTTTTTTTCTGGAAAGAAACAAAACAAATTGACAAGAAAAGGGGTTCCGTATCCGTATTTGCGATTGTATTTCATTATTCATATTCCTCATACTCTGTATCCGTTAACCCAAAGAAAGCGGCTTTAGTAAATAAGGGGGCTATAGCGCAGTGCGGCTGAAATTGAACATATTTTTGAGTATGGCACCCTAAAGTGCGTTTTGTCGGAGAAGCATTTCAAAACGTGTTTTACTCGGAATTATCTCGGGATTTCAGCTAGGTGACAGATAATCAGTTTCTTTTATATTATTGCCCAGTCATATATACGTCTATTTGATGACGAAATTTCGTTCGATGAGTGTTAGAATTTAATCGGTCACTTTGCTCGCTCGCACGATTTGGAAACCAGATAGTTGATAATCAGGCAAAAGTCTTGAGGATATTTGACTCGGGCTTTTATTTATTAGGGGAAGTAGACCCTTCTAATCGATGACTTCGGGGGTCTTGGTAATGGCAGACTGGTTTGTAATTGTAGCCATGTTATTTATTAAAATACGACGGATACCGAATATTCGGATATCGCATACCCTAACAATAATTAGCTGGTATTAAAGGTATTATGTCCCATTTGCAGGCCAACCAAAATGAAAAGGTTAAACTCCACTGGCATTTGAAATAAAATACCGATTTAGGGGCTTGAAAATATCTTCTTGTGGGAAAATAATGGCCGTAAGTCGTCGAATCGACTTTAGGGATTGCAATCCTTTTAGTAAATAGTCTGATTACCAGTGCTGCGCAGAGATTCAATCAGTTTAATTTGGCCATTACAAGAAGTGGGTTTATTGGTGTAGGGAGAATATAAAGTTCAGATTTCTTTAATTTCAGAGCACATGAGAAATCATTTCGCAAGAAATGTCATATAGTTGCCAATTTGTGTTTTTTTCCTGATTTTAATCGGATTTTGCTCAACTTTCACTGACCTGTTCTTTTCAAGTTTCTGCTTTCTTTATAAAATCAAACTTCATAACGGGGAGGACTTCCTCTTAAAAAAAAAAATTAAAAAAAAAAAACGATTTTCGTACCTTAGTTTCTGCCATCTTCCCGTCACAATCACGTGCCACTGTAACGTCACCTGCATGAGATATGGTGCTAAATGGGACCGAACGATGGGCCTTGCGGTACGCCTGATGCTTCTCATCTTGTCGAACTTCCTATTTCAAAGCAGGGAGGACCAGCAATTGAAGAAAACATGGGCCTAATCAATCACAAAGTTATTGGGTTATCATGGAAATATGTCCTGACATTATTAGCGTATATCCTGGGGTTCACTAAACAACATTATAATTTATATCTCACTTAAGAAATCCAGCCATCTGATTAGTCGAAATTAGAGTCGGGATTTTAGCCATTCCCGTAAAGAAACGAAAAATGCCAATACCGGTTAATAGTCCAAGAGCGAGATCCCTTAAAATTCCGGTTACCATGAAAATAGTAAAATTTTGCTGCAATACCCATTGGTTTACGTGTTAAAATGTTCTTTGTGCAAGCGCACACACCATACGATGTCAGCGATTCCCAAATGATTGAAACTTTCAGTCATTTTTCAAGCAAAGATTACAGACAGTGTTTCAGATTTTCCGTGATGTTTTAAACATTCTTTACTCAATAAAAGGATAAGGTAAGAATTATTGATAGATTTCTGTTTCAATTCGGCATATAAAAGACATATCGACTACTTTAATATTCGAGGTCTGGCTGCTTTATATGCTCTCGGGAACTAGCACGTCCTGCCACGACCCCTCGGGGCGCCGCCCACCCAGGCGCGCATCATGGTCATTGCAGGAGGTGCGGGCGCTCCCTTGAGCATATAAAACAGCCAGCCCTCTTAAAGCAGTTAGTATGTCCATACTATTCTCAAAATCATTATCATTATTCCATTTAATTTTATTTCCATCGAATTCAAAAACATAAATTGGTAGGATAGGAAGTTCGTCCAACTTTTCGTACGTAACATTTTGGAAAAACCCATAGACCGCTGGTGGATAATATTTGAGGACATTGGAATGTATTTCTGTACGTTATCCTGAAAATTCAGCTTGTAACAAGCATTTTATAGGAATTGGCATACATGACATGCTAGGATCAATTCTAATAAACCTATGTCTCAAGGCAGTTTTAATGGCGTACAGCTATTTTCATCACAGTTCTAGAACTTCTATCAAGTCTGCTAAGCAAATTGTGAGGCCTTGCAAATAATAACAACAGAAAGTCAGATTTTAAACAACTACCTATAATCTTCCGGAAATTTGCAGTAGTTGACAGTTTTAACAGAACTGTAAATTAACAATTTACTTATAGGACACGTTAACAGTACTAACCGCATCCATGCCAGGAACATCGGCATGCACATGCAGATGAACTTCAATCTCTTTGCCTCTTTCTAAGGTTTCTGGGATGTATGGAGTACACATAAGTTGGTGTCGGATCAACTGCTGTTCAAGAGGAATAAGAACCCACCACTCAGCACATTTTCCAATGTACAGCTCAAGATGTCTCTCATACAATCTGCAGTATGGTGGTTCGTCTGGTGAGCTGGATGATCTCATTCTTGATGTTCTTGGTAGATCTATTGCCAGTGGGTAACAAAACAAAATGCGTTTGTTTTAAAGATGTGTTATTCGAAAACGGAGCCAATTTGTCCTTTAAACTGTTGCACCTGAATATGGCGAAACCATATATTTAAATAAGTAAAGGTGTCTTTGTGGAGAATATTTACTTCAAGTGGTTTTAAGTTTAATAAGCCCTCATAACACGCCCCAAATATCCCCTTACATCAGTTTCCCTTTATTGAAAACTTCGACAGGAAAATTGGAGTTATAAATTGTTCCTCGATGTTATGGCGCTGTGATGACGACGATACCTATAAATAGAAGTACTAACTTAGAATGCGTTTTAATTCCCCTCATGAATCAGGATTTAAGAGTCCAGTTTTAGTCAAGAATGAAGTCTATTTTGCTTTACATTTCCTACAATGCGAGTAATGAGACGTCAGGTTATTTTTAGAAATCAAGTTCACGACTATCCTTCCCGATAGGCGTTTTCCTATCACCTTCCTAGAACACGAACACGCTTTGCTCAAAACACCTTAATGTGTACAGGTCCCAAATTTCTGGAATTCTCACGATTCTGTGATTAAAATATCTATTGTTCATGTATTCAAATGAAAAATGAAATTTCATTTAATTGAATACATATTGTCATTCCTGAATCACGACTATTTTTTCTTCTTCTAAGCAGTATGCTTTTGTTGATTACAATGAGTAAATAACGGTATGGCCATGCCAATTATGTACATATACTACTCATGTTGAGAACAAATTACATTGTACTATTGTTTTAAAGAGCTGCATATATATCCCCTTCCCTTTCCCTTGTCTTTTGCTGTTGATTGTGAGTATCGGTACATGCATCCCTGTAATATCCCTTTCCCTGTTTTAGCGTGTATTTGTCTTTTATAAACCTAACTTTTTGTATGTCATTTGTAGTTTAAGGAGCCTATCCACAACTAGCTCTGCTTTTCCATAGGCTCCGCCATTATATCTCCCAAGTTCAACTGAAGGACAATTTTCTGAATAGTGTGTACCGGTATTATATTAGCATGTATATTATAATCATTTTTCATTATATTGTTACACTCTTTGTAAAATAAGATATTGTGGAAACCAATATCCCCCCCCCCCAAAAAAAAAAACAACAACGTAAAACAAAATATGCCATAGTATACTGAGAATTTATTTGTTATTGTTTTATTGTGCCCTTTTATTTTACCCGACTGCTAGAAAAGCAGTATACTTGTAAACAAAAAAGTCTTTAAGTCCTCTACTTGGTTATTAATAACTTGTCCAAGGGCAATAGCTTAGACTTCGACTAGTAGCGAGACCAATCTCTACCATTTAACCATATCGCAACTCCTCAGTGTTGTCCCGAAAGTGGTTTGCGTGGTTTGTTGAAAAGAGATCTCAGGGCATTAACTTCCGTCTAGTCGAGCATTAAAAAACGAGTCAGTTTCAACATCTGACCAGATGAACTTACCGTTTACTGAATCCCATACATGGGAAACAATGTCTGGTTTCACTTGATCAGGGTTGATGGCCAAGGTAGAGTGTGGTATCCTGATCTTAACAGGTTGGTGGAAGATCATGTTTGGAGGATCACATCTGATCCCGTAGCAGGCCACTGATTCACCATCTTGGATGTCAACACTGGGAGGGTCCCTTAGGAGGGTCAGGGTGATCTTGCTAGGGTCATTCTGATGAACAGCCTCCGGAGGAATAAACATTGATACGCCATGGTCTTCTAGTTCGATTTCCTTACTTGTATTCCTTTCGACTTCAACAGAGACAATGGTAGGTGTTGATGGTTCATCTGTTGTTTATTTAAAAAATGAGGAAATTACACGATAATGAGAACATAATAGATAACAAAATAAATTGTGTGCACATCGGGATGTTAATTGAAGAAAAAAACAAATGATATATTATTATAATTTTTATTTGCAATCTTTTCAACAAAAAGAAAAGATTGTATTACCTTTTCAAAAAGTTATGTTAAATACCTAAAATGAGATATTCAATACTGGTTTCTAACATTTTGATTGGGACCCATGACAAATCCAAAATGTTTTATCCATAACACTTTTTTTATTCGTGTATCTGCATCTTAAATTGTTCTTTCATTTTGGGCACATTCCCCGTTTATCTCTTGTTTTTGGTCAATTGATGTAACACTAAAATTTGGATCTATATATAATTATGAATACAAATGAAGTATAACTAAGAAATAAGTGGAAAAATTTTGTGTCCAATTAAGTAAAATACCCGGACAATAAATTATAAAATCCTTCGTTCTTTCTCTGATGGAAAACCTGAAATGCATTTTTTAATCATCGCAAAACATTGATTCGTGACTTAATGGATAAGAAGAAAAAATATCAGAATCACTTATTTATCACTTATTGTTTAAAAGATGATCTTACCTCGATAAGACTGGATCTCCTCTAAAGATGGTAATCTGAAATTAATCATACGTAAACAAAACATCATTTCTATGGGCTGTGAAAGCATGTAGTTGTGTCCACTCATACAAAATGACATACGTGATATTAACAACAATTGAACAACTGTTGAATGTCAGACACTTATCGAGGCCTACTGTAAACAAAAAGATTAAGGCTCTAATATTAGCATTACTCATGAAAATGAGAAAATAATACACACGCTTGCATCTAGAAAGAAATGCCGTAAAATACATCTTAAACAGATTAACAAAATTAAAGAACCACAGTTAGTGTTTTTATTCTAAACGAATTTCGAAGAAAATGTATACTTTCTTTCTGAGAAGAAAGAACACAAAGATGATTACCCAGTAAGCCTGACTTATGGCCCCGGACATATTAACTGTCACAGTTAATGTCCGAACAGCACATCTGTAATATGTTCAACTACTAAGATTTACATTTAAGCTTAGAGGATTTCATGTTTAAGAACTTAATTAATTCCGTTACCAAATCGTAAAAGAGCAGATATTTCAAAAAGCCTTATTCCTTGCGCTTTGATAAATCACTTAGACCTGAAAGAATCACCTTGACAAAATCATTTGTTTGATCACTTCGTCCTTGGCATACTGGATTGGTAGGTTGCCTGTGTTGTCCTTCACATCTAACTTGGCTCCATTCTCTAGGAGATAAAACACCAAGGCCTTCTCAGGAGATAGTTCGCCCTTGTAGTACTCCTCAGAGATCTGACACAAACAAATATATATATATATATATATATATATATATATTAATAGAACAGTATCATCCATCAATAGCCAGGGTGGATGAGCATCATAAGCATAGTTTATCGCTACCTCTTGGATTCACAGGAGTGGAAATCCCTTGTCAAATTATCAACTTTCCCACACACACAAACACAAGTCCCAACCCCCATATACACATTTTCTTTGATCAATCACAGGTATCAGATTCTAGGATTCACTAATAATCTAGAGGAACAGTATTTGTCAGTTACACCGCCAAAACGATTCCATTTAGACTCCGAAGCTATCCAAAATTTGACCGTTCGGGGAAATTTGTTGTCCAGACTCTTATTGGGCTGGTGTCGGTCTCGTTAGCGTTACTGGGGTACAACTCACATATTTGAGTGTATCCGTGTCTTGCACAATCGTCTCGCTCTTATAGCAGAGTTTAATGGCTTTATGGAGACAAGTCTGGCCGTCGGTTGACTGGATATTGAGATCGGTTCCCTCTGAAACTAACTTCTCAATGATGGAGGTATGACCGTGTTGTATGGCTAGATGGATTTCCGCTAATTCATTCTGGGCGAACTGGATATAAGAAAATACGTAGCAGGAAAACTCAAGATTAAATTTTAAAAAATTTTAAAACACAAATCATGCCAAGTGATCGATAAAATACAATAAATCGAATACGTTTTCAGCAAACATTATAACTTGTCTATAAAGTACATTAAACACATCATTGAATGCTACTGATGTTAGACTTCAAAATAATTAACATATAACTACTCAGATTTTATATAGCGCAAATTACAATTAAATCTCTAAGCGCTTCCAAACTTGGAGATAATTACCCCGACTTTAGCTGTGCTGCAATTACGGCAGGCGTCATTTCAAGGAATTAATTTCTGCCAAGTACCCATTTACATCCCCTGGGTTGATTATTGCAAATGTAGATCAATATTTTGCCAAAGGACATTGGTGCCGCGGGGAGACTCGAACCTCGGACCTTGTGATCGACAGTCCGGCGACGTAACCACTCGACAACGACTCCTCTTCATATGGACGTATGGCCACTAATGCTGTTACAAAATCGAGTTGGTCAAGTCTGAAAACAAAACTAGAGGTAACCTATGCCTAAAGCAGAGTTGGAGCCTCGAGTTGTTGCGAGCTGGCGCGAGCTTGAACTCGCGTAATCTCCTGTGAACTTACTAATTTTTGCGATATTTGCATGAGTGCTCTACGACGCAACATCGAGTTTCCTACGATGGATGTACGAGTGAATAGAGCGCATTACGAGACACGCGAGCTCGGTTTGAGTTGCTATGACCTGTGTACGACTACGACTTGTACCGATCTACCAACGAGTTATCAAGATCTTCTAAGGAGTCATAGCGATCAAGGGGAAATGCATCATTTTGGCCAGGGGCGACCAAGCGACTTCCAAAGCGGGGGGAGAGGGGGCCAACAAAAAAGGGTACTTTTTGGAAAAAAGGGCACCTTCGAGGGGAAATCTCAAATATCATATATAACTGTTGTTATACATTGTTATATACCCCTATATTGTGATTACATTATCAGGGATTATTTCAAGATTTGTTTCACTTTGTACCCAATACAAGATACTGCTTAAAGTAAAGACCGGTAGTGGTAAAATTGCGGTTCAAGGGTTTTGGGTGCAAAATATCCACCTAATAATGTTTAAATATTGCCTTCAGAGGTTTAGATGGCAATACTTCAACCCAAATTCGCAAAAAGCTGAAATATATGCCTAAATGTTCAATGTTGAACTGTATTCGCAATATCTATCCAGGACGGATCGGTATCAAATACTGTATATCAATTGGTGGATGGTTTTCTGGCAAAATTTGTATCATCACGTATTAGTCAAAACATATTCTTTTACATAATTGGTAATAAGAGCTTCCATTTTATTTTTCAACTGGGTCGTTTCTAAAACTGGTCATACTTTGCAGTTGGGTGTGATGGAAAATCAATTTGCGAGCGAGGAAAAATCCCAATCCTGATGGGGTTATAAGCACATTCTAATAAAGGAAGACTGAAAAGACCTTTGATAAGTAACATAAGTATATCATCAATAAATGCGAGTGAGCGTAGCGACTGAGCTTTATATAGTGGGATGTGCTCTTAGACGCTTGAAAGTAGGGGCGCGTTTAATGATAAGAGGTAAAGGGGACACTTATCAGAAAAGAAATAAAGCTCTTGTCAAAGTACAAAAAGTAATTATCAGAGGTGAAAATGGGGCATTTTTCACACTGGCACCTTTACAATGAGGCACTCACCAGGGATGAAAAAAGCACTTATGAAAATAGGATATGGGCATTTGTCGACGGAAAAGGGGCCTCGATCTGATTGTTAAAGGGACATTTATAAGAGGTGAAAAGGGGAATGAAAAGGGCATGAGGCCTTTATTAGAAAGGAAAAGGGGCACGTATCATTGTTAAAAGGGAATTTATCAGGGGTGAAAAGGGGCATGTATCGCACCTGAAAAGGGACGATAAACAGAAATTAAAATGGGCACTTATGGGAATGAAAAAGCCACTTACAATGTGCATTAGTTGAAAGAAAAGGGGTACCGACAGGTTTTGATAGGGGCATTTATCGGAAGTGACGGGGGCACTTATCAGTGCTCCATGGAAGAACAGAGCCATAAGGTTAATTGACTATCTAACCGTTTTATCATTATATTATTATACAATATAGTGAATGGCCATGAGTGCAATGGTTCAAGATTTTGCACGAGGTGAAAGATAAGAGACGCTCTATTCAACGAGGCGCAGCCGAGTTGAACAGAGCGTCTCATCTTTCACCGAATGCAAAATATTGTTCCATTGCACGAATAAAGACCATTCACTATTTGTTGTATACAACACCTCGGACGTAAACGGGCTTAAAACAGTTTTCCTAGGCCTTAATCTCAGCGATTTTTGTTTTCTTTTTCAATTGATGAAATTGCCGATAGTGAGCGCGCACTTTTAAGCAGGCAGCAAACCATGCGCGTACCATGCGGCGCGCGTACCAACCTTTATGTTTATAGTGACGCGGAGTGCAATTTCGTTTGATCCATTGGTACCATTGCACGGCGACGTCACTTACCTCACCATATACTTTGTACATCGTTAGTGACGTCAGCGTGCAATGGTGCGAAAGGATCAAACGGAATTGCACGGCTGGAGAATGATGCCGTTCAACAGTACTTTTAGCGCATGTCATGGGATCAATAATTGACCAATGAGGTTGCAAGAATCTTAGTAGGCGTTGTATAAAGTTATATATGTCTTTGATTTGATATATTGTGTTATTGCTTTTATGATGATTCTCGGAAATAAAACAAACAAAACTAATCAGTCTAAAGGAAAAGGGAGTAACTTCTCGTACCTAAAAAGGGTCATTTACCAGAGGTGAAAAGGGGCATTTGTGTGAAGGGGAAGGGGCTCTTTTTAATAGGGGTACTTTTCATTAGGAAGAGGGGCACTTATTAGAAAGGAAAAAGGGCACCTGAAGAAGTAAAAGAGGAGCCTCTCAAATCTAAATAGGCCAAATTATCAGAGGTAAAGGGGCACTGAAATTGAAAGGGGGCACTGCTCGTCTCTGAAAAGGGGCACTTATGAGAATTAAAAATGGACACTTTTTGCAATGGAAAAGGGGCACTTGTCAAAATAAAAGTGGCACTTATGCTAAGGAGGGGCAATATGCCAAGGATATTAGATTTGAGAACATGCTTTAACTTCAGATACGTGAATGAAATGGGGCACTTGTCAAAGGAATGCCATAATTGTAGTTTTTATATTATTTCAGTTTCTAAGCAATAATACAAGTACTTTCAATATCAAATGTCAACAATGTTATGTCAAAAATATTTTAATTTCTATTTTTATATTTGTATATTGTCTTAATGACTCTTTAAAAGTACATGTATGCAATTCGTATTTGTTAATGTGCATGTACTTTTACATCTTCTTATCTTACTTCTATTCTTCATGTTTCTCTTCTCCGTTTTCCATTTTGTGCTGCCCAAGCAATCTTACCATATTAACTATACATAATTATTTTCATGTTGACAAATTAATTGTAACATGACCATTTCAACCATGGGGCTGCGATTCATGTCTTTAATAAACCTTTAATTGAATTGAATTGAAAGTATAAGAGGTGAAAAGGAGAGGGGCACTTTAAGAAATAAAAAGGGGTACCTGTCCAAGTAAAAGGGGCACTTTTCCTATGTAAAAAGAGGCAAATTTCGGGTACTGAAAAAGAGTAGGGGCACTGCCCCCTCCTCGCTCCCTGCCCCCCGGGGAGGACCGCATCTGATTTTGGCCCTCTCCAAATCAAAGATGGATGCCAGAATCATTTTTGCTAGATCTGCTGGAGGAAAAACATGCCGTGATCTTCTGCACAATTGTAGGCCAGCTGACGCATCATGGTGCGCAAGTCATGCTCGCCATGCTCGCCCTACACTCTCCTCATTCTCATACGAAACCCGCCATAAGTCCCCGTACTCGATCTAAACTCGCGTAAATCTCGTGGGCAACTCGGCATGACTTTATGCATAACTCGCAGCACGATCGTCGTGCTCTACTCCACTTTTGGAAACTCGAATAGCACTAGTGTATACTTGAGGGTGGCGAGTAGATATGAGTTATGAAGAGTGCAGTGCGAGCTTGTTAATACGAGTAATGCGAGTAAATGCGAGTAAATTACGAGTGTAAGCGAGTTCATCTCGAGTAACGCGAATTCGAGGAGAGTCGTGGAATGTTGTAAAGAGTTACGCCGAGCCATACCGAGTTGTCGCTAGTTATCCCGAGTTACAAGAAGAGCTTTTCGCGAGTTATTGCGAGTGCCTCTTTGAGGCAACTCGCCACAACTCACCATACCTCGATAATACAAGTCGGCTAAGTGGGAGCCCTGCTTAATATTCGCGCAATTGAATTTCATTACTTGTTAATCTACATGCATGTATTTAATACATCAATGTATGATTCGACATAAAGTATTTTTCAATATTGTTACCTTGATATTTGAACGGTCGATGAATAGATAAGCGATGCTTTGGTACCCAAGGGATAAAGACAATTGCAGAGGTGTTTGCCCATTAATGACTCCTGTGTTAGAACCTCCAGCCAGAAGGACTTTAACGACATTAATGTAACCATTCTGAACAGCTTGGTGTAAAGCGGTCATACCATCATTATTTTCCTTATTCACCTCAGCTCCTTGACTGATGAGACATTTGGTGACATCAAGATGTCCCTCATCAGCAGCGAAGTGTAATGCAGTTATACCGTGATTATCTCCCCTATTCACTTCAGCTCCTTGACTGATGAGATAGTTGGTGACTTCAAGGTGACAACGGTGAGCAGCACTGTGTAATGCCGACATACCGCTATCATCTCCTTTATTCACCTCAGCTCCTTGACTGATCAGATATTTGGTGACATCAAGATGACCATTATGAGCAGCACTATGCAAAGCGGTCCAACCTTCATTATTACCCTTATTCACATCAGCTCCTTGGCTAATGAGCTTTTTTGTGACATCAAGATGCCCGTCCTTAGCAGCACTTTGTAATGCAACCCTAAGGTGATCATCTCCCTTAGAACATTCAGCCCCTGATTGACTGGTGGGACGTTCGGTGGCAGCAACATGCTCGTCCTTAGCAGGAAAGATTAATGCAGTCGAATTGTGATTATCCCCCTCACTGACTTCAGCACCTTCACTGATGAGAAACTTGGTGAGAGTAAGATGACCATTCTCAGCAGCAAGTTGAAATGCTGTCCTACCTTCATTATTCCTCTTATTCACCTCAGCTCCATGACTGATGAGATATTTTGTGACATCAAGATGACCCTCATCAGCAGCGAAGTGTAATGCAGTCCTACCCTCATTATTTCCCATATTCACTTCAGCTCCTTGACTGATGAGATACTTGGTGGGAGCAAGATGACCATTCTCAGCAGCAAGGTGAAACGCAGTCCTACCGTCATTATTCCTCTTATTCACTTCAGCTCCTTCACTGATGAGATACTTGGTGAGAGCAAGATGACTATTCTCAGCAGCAAGGTGAAACGACGTCCTACCGTCATTATTCCCCTTATTCACCTTAGCTCCTTGACTGATGAGATAGACGGTGACATCAAAATGGCCCTTCTCAGCAGCACCGTGTAATGCAGTCTCACCGTCATAAGCTCCCTTGTTCACATCGGCTCGATGGCTGATGAGATATTTGGTGACATCAAGATGACCCTCAGCAGCAGCGAAGTGTAATGCAGTCCTACCCTCATTATTTCCCATATTCACTTCATCTCCTCGACCGATGACGCACTTCGTGACTTCAAGGTGACCCCAGAGAGCAGCAAAATGTAATGCAGTCTTTCCGCCTCTATCTCTCTTATTAACCTTAGCTCCTTGACTGATAAGATATTTGGTGACATCAAGATGACCCTCAGCAGCAGCAGCGTGTAATGCAGTCTCGCCGTCATTATCTCCGTTATTAACCTCAGCTCCTTGACTGATAAGATATTTGGTGACATCAAGATGACCCTCAGCAGCAGCAGCGTGTAATGCAGTCTTACCGTCGTTATCTCCCTTTTTCGCCTCACCTCCTTGACCGACGAGATATTTGGTGACTTCAAGTTGACCCCGGTGAGCAGCCCCGTGTAATGCAGTCCTACCGTCATTATCTCCCTTATTCACATCTGCTCCTAGACTGATGAGATATTTGGTGACATCAAGATGACCCTCAGCAGCAGCCCCGTGTAATGCCGTCATACCGTTAATATCTCCCTTATTCATCTTAGCTCCTCGACTGATTAGATATTTGGTGACATCATGATAACCCCCCTGAACAGCAAGGTGTAATGCAGTCATATCGTTATTATTTCCGTTATTCACCTTAGCTCCTTGACGGACGAGATATTTGGTGACTTCAAGTTGACCCCGGTGAGCAGCCCCGTGTAATGCAGTCCTACCGTTATTATCTCCCTTATTCACCTCTGCTCCTAGACTGATAAGATATTTCGTGACATCAAGATGACCTACTTGAGCAGCAAGTTGTAATGCAGTCCTATCGTGTTTATCTCCGTTATTCATCTCAGCTCCTTGACTGACAAGATATTTGGTGATATCAAGATGACTCCCATGAGCAGCACCGAGGAATGCATTCCACCCGTTATTATCTCTCTTATTTACATCAGCTCCTTGCCTGATAAGATATTTGATGACTTCAAGGTGACCCTGGCGAGCAGCAAAGTGTAGTGCAGTCCTACCGTCATTATCTCCCTTATTCACCTCAGCTCCCTCCCTGATCAGAGATATAGCGTCACTAAGAAGACCGCTGAAGGCAGCAATGTGTAGGTCAGTCATACCGTTACCCTCATTACAATCAGCTCCCTGACTAATGAGATATTTGTTGACGTCTAGATGACCCCTCACAGCAGCAATGTGGCATGCAGCCATACCGTCATTATCTTCCTTATTCACCTCAGCTCCTTGACTGATAAGATATTTGGTGACATCAAGATGACCATTGAAAGCACCATTGTGTAATGCAGTCTTACCGTCATTATTACCGTTATTCACATCAGCTCCTTGACTGATCAGATATTTCATTATCTTAAGGTGACCATTGAAAGCAGCAGCGTGTAATGCAGTCCTACCTTTATTATTTCCCTTATTTACCTCAGCACCTTGGCTGATCAGATACTTGGTGACATCAAGATGACAATTCCTTACAGCGCTGTATAATGCAGAGTAGCCGTCATTGTCTTCTGTGTCCATATTTGCTCCATGACTGAGTATAATTTTCGATGCTTTAAGACGTCCGAGTGATGCAGCAAGATGTAAGGGTGTTTGTCCATCTGTAGTCGCCTTCTCAATATCAGCACCTTGGTTTATGAGTAACTCAGTGACGGTTATATGGTCTTTCTTCACCGCATTATGTAAACTTGTGTTTCCATCTTGGTCTGCATGGTTTATGTTAGCATCCTCTTTTAGCAGTTTTTTGACGGTTCTGATTTTACCCCTCAATGCTGCCTCATGAAGCTGTAGATTTATGTCCTCCATACTTGAAGAAGCATTGGCTTACCAGACACCCTTATTTAGCTCTGTTCCTTGTCACGATCTACTTCGAAATCTAAATCTATATGTAGTAAATAATCCCATACACCACACTTGCGTGGTTCTTTTTCTCGAAATGTGCACTCGTTATTATTGTATCGTTCTCAACATGTTTCAAAGTCCTGTGTAGTGAACTAGATCGTAATTCGAATATGGGTCATTCATATCACTGTTATGCCTGCTCTTTCCTCCTCTTCTTCTTCTTTTTTTTTTTGAGGGGGGGGGGGGTGAATCATCAACATCTCGTCATAAAGCAAGTGCATTTTTGTAACACCCCCTATTCCCTTTCAGTCTAAAATAAAGGGTGGAAATATTTTTCTGTCCGTCTCATTTAAGGAGACATACATTAACCTGAAATAACGAAGAAACATTTTCAAGGAGGGATATTGTCAAGCCCTTGTTTTACATGTGTCATGACAAAATTCGTAGTAAAGGAGCATAAAGTTCCCGCCTAATTACGTATCTCAATACAAAATAATTACTTTAACTATGTGTGAAGGACGCTGATTCCTAACCTTTGAAAATTGAATTACTCACGAACAAAGCAAATATCAACGCTCATTATGGCACTAAGTATGGTAATGGTAAGGTGGTGAAGGTTGTGACAAAAATCCTACTGAATATAACCGTTATTGTGATAACAACGACGATGACGATGGTGGACTGTACATTATTCAAATGGTTATGGCCATCATATAGTAATAAAGGTGAAGAAAATGATGATGAATTAATTTGAGTCAACACTATTTATCCGTTGCATTGCAGCACATGGAGGGTGCATGTCTAGCAAAATAACTTTTGACAAAGTCTTCTTTATGGGGGTCCCTGTTAAAAAGAAGTCATCGCGGTGTAGTGCCCTTGAGTAAGACATTAATTTTCAGTCCTCTGAGAACGTGAACCTGCTTAGCCGAATCGACATGAATTTGTCAATATGTATAAATATATACCGCGATGCATAGTTAGGCAAGAAATGGAGAAAGCAAGGAAAGAGACAAAATTGTATAAAAAATATATCCAAGAAGGGATCAAAACGCCCCCTCCCCCTTCTCCTCAGACGGAAAGGAAAAAAAGAAGGTTTGGGACTTTGTTTTTAGCGGGAAGATCCCAAGCAATACCCAAGCAATGGGCATACCATTGTGCATGTGTGCACTTCATCCATAATATCCTCTATGTTATTTAGTTTGTGACAAATAGAATTCACAAAGAAAAAGAGACTCCATGTCTTATCTCTGCACAACTGGCCGAACGAAGTATTGAACTCTATCGTTCAAGAGAAGAAAAAAAACTCGTTATATTAAAGTGGAATAAAATGAAGAGAGGGATGAATCAAACACTGGAGGATTATAAATTCTATGTGCTCAACCAAAAGCATTAATACCATTATGAATAATAAAAATTGAGCGACAAAAAGCAGCTCTTGTAAAAGAGATTTTACAATGACTGGATATGGTACGGTAAAGATACGGGCCCGAATTCACAAAGGAGGTTTGTCGACAAACCTCCTTTGTGAATTCGGCCCACAATGTTTGGCTCTTTATCTAACGTGAACCCGCTCAACAACTTTGTAATTAAAACAGGCTAGAGCCAGTATAACTATGAATATACATAAACGCGGTTTGACAGTGACCAAAGTATAGATGATAAGATTATAGGACTGTGTTCTCAATTAATTGTCAACAACGATGAAAGGCTACCGATACGTTTGTGCGCGTGTGTGTGTGTGTATGTCTGTCTGTCTGTCTGACTGTTTTTTTGGTCGATGCACTGTTTTATTCCTCTCCCAGAAACTTGGCGCAAGTGAGATCGGGCAGTCTTGAAAAGATTGTCTGATGTTCAGTCATGCATGCGGAGATTCAAATGAAAATGGTACCTAAATGTAGGGGGATGATAACTCTATCAAGACATGTCATGAAACTCATGATTAAATATTCATACTTCAAACAATACAACTTTTATAGACAATTTCGTAAATTCATGGACAATTTTTACCAGCCTTAAAAAGTATTGTATTAGTCAGCTTCTTCTGCTTCAAGGTCAGAACGGTAACATACATTCATTTTGGGAAAGCCTTGTCCTAAACACTGCTAAGTTTTGTAGTAATTAAGGACTTTTGCTAGTACTTCTTTAATTGTTCAGAATTACACACGCCTTTTCCTCTTGTCAAATACCGAAAATAGCAGAACTGGATTATTTCCCGCTTACATGACGTATGTTGCAACTAAGTAAAGGGTTATCGTCCTTTATGATCTATGATTCCATCATGAAAGGCAAATATGTACATTGTTTGGAAAGAGAGCAAAACACCTTTCAAGTCTAGTGCAGATCAATAGAGTATCTTCGCATGAGTGGATGTAATTTCACGCATAATTTCGTAATGTTAACCCACACTTTGCCATTAAAGCTCTTCCAAACAGACCCTGCACGTAAACCCTATACATTATCTTGCCTGGTATTCTTAGAGTTAATTTTCGGGGGGATTCCCCTTTTTGATAATTTGGCGCCTGTTTTTGACACCGCTTCCAATTCTAAAGTGGATACCATTGTGTATGTGTACACTCCATGACTTTCAATCTCTTTGTTATTCAGTTTATGACAAAATAGACTTCACAAAGTAAAAGAGATTCCATGGCTTATCTCTGCACAATTGGCCGAACGAAGTATTGAACTCTATCGTTTCAAGAGAAAAAAAAGTCGTTATATTAAAGTGGAATAAAATGAAGAGAGGGATGAATCAAACACTGGAGGATTATAAATTCTATATGCTCAACCAAAGGCATTCATACCATTATGAGTAAGAAAAATGGAGCGATATAAAGCAGCTCTTGTAAAAGAGATTTTACAATGACTGGCTATGGTACGGTAAAGATACGGGCCCGAATTCACAAAGGAGGTTTGTCGACAAACCTCCTTTGTGAATTCGGGCCACAATGTTTGGCTCTTTATCCAACGTGAACCCGCTCAACAACTTGGTAATTGAAATAGGTTAGAGCCAGTATAACTATGAATATACATAAACGCGGTTTGACAGTGACCAAAGTATAGATGATAAGATTATAGGACTGTGTTCTCAATTAATTGTCAACAACGATGAAAGGCTACCGATACGTTTGTGCGCGTGTGTGTGTGTGAATGTGTGTGAATGGGAAGGGAGGAATTAATAATGTGATCTTGAATGTAAAACAACCACCTTCAGTTTTACAACTATTTGTATTGACCCTTTATACTGTGAGATTGGACGATAAATTTCTAAAATTAACTTTCATAATGATAATAATCTCCTAATACCCTCAAAACCGCTGGATAGAAATATTATGTAGGCTAATATGGAAAGGATGTGGCGTTGACGAAGACATTCGAGGAAAGTATAAAACCTCGGTCAAAAATGTTAAACTTATACAATACTTACATGAAATAGACAATTTCGTAAATTCTTGGACAATTTTTACCCACATTAAAAACTATTGTATTAGTCAGCTTCTTCTGCTTCACGGTCAGAACGGTAACATACATTCATTTTGGGAAAGCTTTGTGCTGAACACTGCTAAGTTTTGTAGTAATTAAGGACTTTTGCTATAGTACTTCTTTACCTGTTCAGAATTACACACACCTTTTCCTTTTGTCAAATACCGAAGATAGCAGAACTGGATTATTTCCCGCTTAGCTGACGTATGTTGCATCTCAGTAAAGGGTTATCGTACTTTGTTATCTATGATTCCATCATGAAAGGCAAATATGTACATCGTTTGGAAATAGTGCAAAACACCTTTTGAGATTAATAGAGTATTTCGCTTGATCGGATTTAATTTCACGCACAATTTCGTAATGTTAACCCACAACGTGCCATTAAAGCTCTTCTGTACAGACCCTGCACGTAAACCCTATACATTATCTTGCCTGGTATTCTTAGAGTTAATTTTCGGGGGGATTCCCCTTTTTGATAATGTGGCGCCTGTTTTTGGCACCGCTTCCAATTCTAAAGTGTATACCATTGTGCGTGTGTACACTCCATGACTTTCAACTTCTTTGTTATTCAGTTTTGTGACAAAATAGAATTTACGAAATAAAAGAGGCTTCCTGGCTTATCTCTTTAAAACTAGCCAAACAAACTTTTGAACTCTTTCATTTCGAGAAGAAATAAAATGTCGTTATAAGCGGAATGAAATGTAGAGAGGGATGAATCAAGCACCGGATGATTTTACATTCTATATGCTCAATCAAAGGCATACACACGATTAGAAATAAGAATATTTGAGAGATAAAAAGCCGAACATGTCAAAAAGATGGTAGAATGTCTGGCTGTGGAACGATGAGGATAACATTTCTGGCTTTTTATCCAACGTGAATCCGTTCAAGAATTAGAAAAATGAAAGAGATTTTAACAAGTATGATTATAAAATGACATTACGCTTGACAGTAACCGAGGTATCGGTGATCAGATTATAGGTCTGTGTTCTCAATCAATTTTTAAGAACGGTGAGAGGCTACCCATACGTTTGCGAGTGCGTATGTGTGTGTGTGGAGAAGGGGAGGGGAGGCGGTATTATTTATCATGATCTTGAATGTAAACACATCCACTTTTAGTTTTAAAGCGATTTTTAATGACCCTTTATTCTTTGAGATTGGACGTTACATTATTAAATTGAAATTTGTAATAATAATAGTTCCATCAATACCGCTGGAAAGAGATATCTACGGTGTACATCGAAAGGGTGTGTAGCTGAAAAAGACATTCGAGGAAAGTGAGATACACCCCCCCCCCTCAACATTTGATTGTCTCGAAAGGACGCGGTGAGCGCTCTGTCACCCCTTACGAGACAACTAGGAAAGGTGGTGGAGTTTCTCTATTTGTTCTTGCATAATTACCATTTTGATTAATATGATAATAACAATTAATAAACAGATGACGAAATAATATGTTCATAGACTTATGATTAATGCATTTTGAT